GGAACAAAATGGCCACTCCGTTTACTTCTCAGCAACGCGGTTATAAAAGAGGCATAAAATTTGCGGCGATCATTGGGCTGGAGAGAGGGGAAGTGTAGCAGCTAACAGCTCAGAAGTCGTTCAGTTGGAACGCTACGCAGATGACCGAGGTGTGTTCACTGCTGAGTGACACATCAAAGGTGCAGGATAGGAATTCACTATCAACAAATGCGAAGGGATGGACTGAAGAAAGCAAACGACGGTTTTCCATTGCTATTAAGAATTGTATGACACTTTCACAAGCTCTCAACAGCGTGTCTTCCGAATTGATGCGCATATTCAAGTCTACAATGTCAAATTGCTTCAAGGAGAGAAGTTTGCCCATTACACACGCACAGGAGGGAGGTAGTCGAATGGATTATGGAGCAACAACAGCACGAAGTGGGTGTTGATTAGCCTTTTCACTTTTAACGGGCTGACATGGTTCATCTCCAGACGCATTGTCTTCAGGGTTGAGAGTTAAAGACACTTTCAAACTAGGAGATGTTTAGTGCAGATTTCAAGTTAAAATGTTGTCATCGGAACATTAAGTTTTCCGAAGTAGTGACTGAATGCATGGCAGCATTTCAGTGGGTTGACAATCACGAAAAGAAAGATTAATTTTTACAATCCATCTTGAATGTCATGAATGCGGAGGTTGGCAGCACTTCCTCTAACAGAGAAGCATCAACTGATAAAAAGCCCGAGAATAAATTTCATTGGCTCTAAGTTGTGAAATTTTTTAATTTTGCTATCAAAATTGACCACTCAGAACTTGCTGTTTAGAGCTGTGGGGCTCCTTTTGCTACTCATCCCCCACCCACGCCTTGAAGAGGGAAGTAAAACAGATTGTTTTTGCAAATCTCTACTTCCTATCAATGCTACGTGTGGCGTGAATACTTGAGACACTCCCTAGAAGGTGAGTGATGATGGAGGTGGGGACGGTAAGAGAGAGTGTTGTGGGTCCTTTTGCCATTTCTACACTCGCCTTCCTCACAAGGGCTGTGGAGGGTGTTCTCATTCAGCCCAAATGACATATGGCTCGCCTCTTTAGAGTTTCTCCACCAAGAATGGCAAATAAATATTTGGCCTGCATGAAGATAGATTTGACGATAGCGGAATTCTTTACGACCTTGGCAAGTTCGTAGGCAAAATGAAGTGGTCTCCATTATGGATTCGCCAGAGTCCGTGAATTACCAACAAAAGACGGAAGGTGACGAGGAGAGGAGGGAGGGACAAGGAGAATTAACAGTCTCTTTAGCATTGCCTAAAGGTGCAAGGAGATGGCAGAAATGTCACTTGTAGAAAATCTCCAAAGAAGGATAGCTCGAGCCTTCGACTTTGCTGCAAGAGGAGGTACTGCAGCCGTCATGTGGAGAGTGGTGCTGTAGCACGAGACCAATCACCAAGTTGTCGCGCTGCATGCATTCCCACATGTTAGCAGCATTGCAACAACTCGACATAAAGTCGTGCATCGTCTCTACCACAACACTCCCTCTGTTAATTAGTTTGTAAACTAATTTTCTGTCCCCTTAAAAGGTGTAAGCGCAGGAATTTGTCTTACAACGGCACATCGTTGGACAATGCTAAGACATCATTGGGGTGCCATCTTATTGTAAAGTGGATCCGGCAATCTCGTGATACCTTCCAAAAACAGCTTATTTTATACTCCTTTAGCATCTGATGCCGTTGACAGGAAGGAGCAGTCCAAGTTAGCGGATGGCGAAAATCGCGACCGCAACTCGCCACGGACTACCAAGCACTTTGACGACCCAACTGAACAATCGGACAAGATCGAGCCTCAAGACTATGCATTTCAAATCCATATGATAACGTAAGGCTCATGGTTTTACATCCCTTTTCTGAATTTTGATGGCAGAATCGACAAAGCTCCCAAGTGGAACCGTGAAACACAGAATACAAAAGCCTCTCAGCGAACTGGTCAAGCAGGACGATCAGCTATTCAATGACTAATGAAGCCTTAAGCTTTGTAACCGTGGATGCGGGATGAAGTTCTGTTAACAGTTCACTGGTTGCGTTTACTGGCTGATGGAAGCCAACTTTTGACAAAACGCGTGTTGCAAATAACTTTGCCACACATCAGCCTTCTTGAGCTCGTCAAATGAGATCAGCGATCTCCTAGCTGCAAATTTGGGCCTTCCAGTTGGTCTTCTTTCAGTGGTATGCAAAAAAATGATGAAATAAAGAAGAACGGGAAGAACAGGGGGAAAAAAAATCAGAGAGAAGGATGTTTACCCGTTCTGCACTTTGCATTTTACTGGGTAACAAGTTCTGCCCAATCATGACGCTGCTGGTTACATTCCTCGGACACTATTGAAAGAAACAAGGCGAGTGGACACTTCGGACACGCCCCATGAATGAATGCGAAAGTGTGCCTCCTGATCAAATTATGCAGCGCTTAAACGATAATAGGACGCAACTAAGACTACACGAAGAAGGAAAGTGTTAACCTCTTCTATTTCATTCCATGGAGCCACCGGTTGGACTGAGTGATTAGCAGTGCAAGAGAGTGTTTGCATGGTGATTGAGGACTCGAAGAACAGGCGATAGTAAACGCCACTGAGCTTAAGTTGCCATTCATTGGTATTAATTTTACTTTGAAGTTGTCAGATCTCTCATTCTGAGGTCATCCTTTTACAAATGGCCTATGGCACCAGCTCATTATTGGCACCTTGGCATCCTTGACGGGGCAGCCTTCCTCAGTGAGCACTTTGAAATGGCAAGGTAATGACTGGCTAACCTCTGGGCATCAGACTTCAATCAGCGCCATCATTTTATCCGCGGACATTGAAGTTCACATGTGATTTGCCGACTCGCAAACACTTTTATAGTCCAATATCCATTTCTTGCTCTCCTTCCTGACTTTACGAAACTCTTTAATGCTCTTTGGTATGTTTTTAATGTTGCCCGCTTCCTACCGCCATCCACAAATCGGTGCTCGCACATCTTATGCTGAATGAATCGTTGTTCTGAAGGTCGGCGTTTCAATAATTGCCGCTCCTGTGTTTGTGCGCATCAGTGCTGAAGCACTCACCCAAATTATAATAAATTTGTTTTTTGTTCCTTTGCACTTGACTTTAAGACTCGGCCATTGCGACTTAATTCGAGTCGCAATAGTGTGGTTACATGTGATAACTAGGAGAGCACAAATAGGTGGGGTAAGAGGAGCATATGGCCAAGCATTGGTGCTGCACAATAACAACCGCATGCTTGTTTCCCATCTCCGTTTCACAGGTGCATTTCTCCTTAAGAAGGGGACCACTTTATAGCTATCAGTTGTGGCCCACAGAAATCAGAGCGAAGGACCTGA